ATAATGTAAAACTGAAAAATAAGTAACAACTAGAATAACAGCAGCAACTAGAATAACAGCAGCTAACCCTAGGAAGACTAGGTACATTCTACCCTACGAACAGAGTGGGACCACAGCTGTGGGGCCAACATCAGTGTTCTCTACAATCATCAAGAGTGAAGTTCGAGAATAAACTCAACGATTTCACCCAATGTGCCACCTTTACAGCCCTCGTACATTCCCACATTATTCTCCCCTTCTTTTGGCCAACTGAAAATAGTAAAATTAAACAACTTGTCCAGACTGTTTGGAGTGTTCCACCTGTAACAAAAAAGAGAAAAGATCCAATCCCAAATACAACAAGCAGATGGGCAAGAAATTAGAAGATGATACACAGTTTCACCTTTAGATTCACACAAAATACACCAATTTAAGGATAAACATCAGCCAGGTCTCTTCCTCTGCAACAAGTCACAAATATTAATAGCACCATGGAAGACCTCCCAGCAGAAGGCACCCACTTTAGGAGGAACAGGATGGCACCAAACCTCTTTGATTGGGAAAGGCAAAGGGGAAGTAACTGAAGAAGACAAAGATTTAGGGCCTGTTCGTTTGCTTCGAAGTCTGACATCTGAAAGTGTAATAATTACATTAAGAGGTATATTGGTATTGGTGAACTTTTCTCTCTGAACTCTGAATGCAGAGAATGGTGTTCTGAATTCTGAATTCAGTATTCTGAAAACTATCAAATATCCATTTAGACCCCATATGAGAGTTTTTGCTTGTCTTTTTGTGGGTATCATTGGAAAACAAAAAGTTGTATGATTGCACTTTAAGAATCAAGAGATAAGAGGAAACGAACAACCAATTTTCTCTTAAAGTTAAAAGATTCCTCTTAAGAGATAAGAGTTGAGAGAAAACGAACAGGCCCTTAAATAAAGAGGCACAACTGAACACCCCTGAAGGATGACTAGACCAAATACAACTATTCCCCTTACTATCATCAAAGAAAACCCCACCAAGAATTTGTAGGAGATATTAAACAAATTCCAATTTTGTATCTCTGACATTCCTACGGAAGCCCAAATTCCAACCAAAACCAGAACCAGAGAGAGGGAGTTACAAATTCATAGATGGTTTTGCCCTTGAAAGATGAAAGAGCAAACAACGAAGGGAATACCTCCTTTAAAGGAGCCTCACCCACCCATAAATCTTCCCAGAATTTACTTTTCTTACCAGAGTTGAGGTCAAACATGATGTGATTAAGAAAGTGTGGAGAAACTTATAAATAGCTTTCCAACGAGATGCACTGGACACCATGTTGGATGCTCCAGCATCCAAACCATTTTCGAAGAGCCCATGAATGCTGACCACCACCTTATGCCACAATTTATCTGTTTCTCTCGAAAATCTCCACAACCATTTACCCAGTAGAGCCATGTTCTTTTCTTTCATTCTACCTAAACCTAACCCACCACAATCCTTCCTTCGACTCACCACTTCCCACCTAATTAGGTGATCTTTCTTCTCCTCCCCCGTTTCCTATAGAAAATCCCTCATAATTTTCTCAACCCTCTTTACAATGCTTGGGGCATACTAAACACTGAAAGGAAATAAATTGGAAGATTAGCTAAGATGGATTTAATAAGATTATAAGAGTGATCCTACCCCTCAGTGAAATATAATTCCACTTCCACACTACCAATTTCTTTTCAAACCTTTCCACTACTAGGTTCTAGAAAGCCAAGGTTCTAGGGTTTGCATCAAGAGGAAGTCCTAAATATTTCAATGACCAATCAGTTATCAACCACCCCAACTCTCCTGCCCACAATCCTACTTATTCTTGCTCCATATTAACCCCCACCACGAAACTCTTGTTTAGATTCACCTTTAGGTTCGACACTCTCTGAAAGAAGCTCACCAACAATTTTAACCTTTTAGCCTCTTGCTCACCCTCAGCTTAACGAAAAATAGTGAAATTAAGGGCATGGAAAAGTACAGAGACAATGAACAATCTCACTATTTAAGATTATTAATCTCAAATCTTAGCTGGTATACCTTAGCAACATTAAGGGCATGGAAATAGGTCTCAGAGGCACCATCCCAAATTTCCTTGGCTATTCTCATCCACAAGTAATTTCTACTTAAGTGTGGATGCATAGAATTCACCAACCATGACATGACAAATAGGTTCTCTGGCACCAATTTACCATGTCTAGGATCCTCAATATCAGGTTCAGCCTTTAATCCTATCAAATAACCAAGCTTACCACATCCTCCTATGGACATTCATATGGATTAAGCCCACTCCAGGTAATTGCTACCATCCAACTCCAAATTAGTTATTTGAGTATTCAACCCATCCCACTGCTTCTAAAAGTCACATTGGATCTCTGTAATCTATTCCAGCAATCTACTTATATGAATCATGAAGTCCTCAGGATTGAATGGTTGATCTGTAAACACCCTAAGTGAAGAATCAAAAGAACCTTCAACACGGGAGAAGAGGAGAAACAGGAAAAACTACAGCCGCTCACTCTAAAACTTCTAGAAGCCTCTCCAGATGCAATCGTTCTTTTATGATACATCAAAACAGATCTCTAAACATCCAAGTGCCACAGCAGATAGGTCTCTATCTTGGCAGATTTAATCACGTAAAGATTTTTTTTATTTTCTTGATTTTTTTATTTTTTGAGAAACAATCAAATCACTCCCTTGCAAACCAATCATTCAGGTATTGGTAGTCCAAAAATCCTCCAAAACTAAGCTACAAACAACCAGTTGATCAGCTCATCCAATCCCTCATACAGATGGCTGATCTCTAATCTGTATGAGATATTCTAAATAGGATCGAAGGGAGCTTCAATACCATGTCATCTTCTTGATTTCATCAAGAAAAATAAATGAATAATCTAGCAGAAACTTTTAAAGTGAAGAGAGAGAGAAGAGAAACAATGGAGAACTGATCATGGGTTCTGGTTAGTTCCCATGTTTTCTTTTATTAACTTTTAGTGAAAATTACATCAGCACCCTTATATAGGCAGCAAAACTAAGAATGCTAATAATACTAACAACAGACTGAATAACCTAGCTCATAGGCCCACTAACAAAAGATCAAAAGCCTGCCAATATTGAGAACTAAGACAGCAGCTAAACAAACATCAAAAAAAGGCTCAAAATAGAGAAAATAGGATGGCCAATCCTGGCATCTCAACAGAGTACAGACTTTTAATCTCATCATTACCCAAAACTCATTCATCTTCTTTCTTCTCTCATCCCTTCCGAAGTTTCAATCCTCCTTTCTCCAGCACATGCTACATTTTACAAAAATTCCCTTTTTTTTATCAGTGTACAAAAATTCCCTTTTCATCCCCTAGAATTCCTAACATGCCCCTTCCCTCTTGTCTTTTTGATATCACCTGCCCTACTTATTCTCATTACCAAATGTAAGCCAATAAAGTTCAAATTTACAAGTTGCAACCACTGTAGTCCACCCTGATTTCATCAAACCACCCACCTCCTTATTGTATAAACCATTAGTATTAACTCCAATCCTCATTCATACACCTAAATACTTCCCATCTACTTTTAAACTTCTCAAGATCAAAAGTGTGTTCCATGTGTCTCTCTGTTTTTTATTCTCTCTTTTCTTTTTTTGCCTTTAAACCAGCTCTCCCTAACCAGTATATCAATTTTCTCCCTACCATTCACTATGTCATCATCTTCTTCTCGATGATTCATCAGATATGGATATGAAACTCATAACTGTGTCCATGTTATAGAAATTTGGAAATGCATAGTCATGTCACTGTTCTGTATACATATCTATGCATCAGAGCAAAAGCATAGTTTTCCCTAAAAACAATATACAAATATGTATTTCATAATTAACATACACAAAAAATGCAACAGACAAAGCACATCAACTAGTTGACCTTTTAACTTGAAACCAAATAGAAATATAATTTTCTTAAGAACAAGAATCTATTTAATTGCATGGAGAAATGAAAATATGGAAGAACCTAAAAAAATAATTTATTGCCATAAGATGGACAAGATCTTAGAAAGGACCAAGATTGTGAGACATAAGAAAGACTGTCTGACCGATTGCAAACATCACGAAGACACATCCGCAGCCGGCGAAAGGCATGCTGCTCAGCTTCTGCCTTAGCTTTTAACTCTGAAGCCTTTGGACCACTTGTGATCTTTGGTGCCTTAGGGAGCTCAGGAAGGGGTGTTGATTCCTGAGATTTGCTTATTGTTGCTTCAGACGGGATAGAAAAAGCAGCTTCAACCAAATGCTCAATAAATATATGCCTGTCATCTGCTGTTGGTTTATCAACTTGATAACTGTCAAGCAAAAAGTAACATAAGAAACTGAGTATTTGAATACAACCAGGATAATAGCAGCATGCAAATTGTAGAAGACATATTACATACAAGGAAAATAAACTTGAACTGTACTAGAACAAGAAATTGCCATGCTTAAGGGGTTGAGTGCTCACCCAAATATTCCATCTCATGGTTCCCTCTTTAAAAAGAAGCCCATTTCATGGTTCCTTCCCCCCCCCCCCAGTTCGCCCTTTGGCTTTAAACTGGGATTTTGAGTTTCGAAGAGGGTTATATGAAGAATTTCTTTGTGTTTCAGAGCTCTTGTTGCTTCTAGACTCATTGTGTTTGGACCCCCCCCCCTAACCTGGATAAAAGGGTTTGGTCTCTATCCCCGGTTGGCTCCTTCACTTGTGCATCTTTCTTTAAAGCCCTTTGCTCCAACCCTCTCAAGTCTTCCCTGTTAAAGAGGTTTGGTCAAGGCTAATACCCCCTAAAATAGCAGTGTTCTGTTGGGAAGCCTATTATGGTAAGATCAATACTGTGGAAAACTTGCAAAAGAAGAAACCTTATATGTGTTTGTCCCCAAATTGGTGCTTTTTGTGTAAAGTGAAGGGTGAGGACTGTAACCGTTTGCTGATATCGTGCTCTTTTGCCGCCAATATTTGGAACTGGGTTGTTTCATTATTTGGGTGCAGGTGGAACTTGCCCTCCGAAGTAAAGCTACTGTTCACTTCGGCTGCCTTTGGGACATTGACAAAAAGAGGGAAGCTAATGTGGAAATGTATCAGAGCCGCTACCTTGTGGACATTATGGGAGGAGAGAAATGCTAAAATATTTCAAGAAAAAGAAAGAAGCCTTGCTGAAATCAAGGAATGCATAATGACAAGGACAACCTCATGGCTGAAATCTTCACACTTGTTGGCAGATTACTCCTTTGATGACTTAAGGAGAAACTGGCAGCAGTGGCTTCTACAATCTCCACAAAGAACAAATCACAAACTGAATGGAAACCCCCACCAGATGGAGTGGTAAAATTGAATTTTAATGGTAGCTTCCAAAGTAACCCAGGGCCATCCAGAATAGGAGGGATTCTGAGAGACAAAGACAGCAACATGTTGTCTTTATTTTCAGGACCAGTGGGTGTTGGTGATTCGGTAAGGGCAGAGTTGCTAGCAGCGGTACAAGGTATATAGATGGCCAGTCAACTTGGAGTAAACAATTTGATAGTAGAAGGGGATTCCAAGGTAGTAGTGGGCTGGCTGACATGTCCAGAAACAGCTTGTTGGGGCTATAGGGATCTGTTAAAGAAAGTTAAATGGATGACAAGAAATATGACTGTCAGGTTTCGGTGGGTCAGCAGATCAGCAAATGCAATGGCTGATTCTCTGGCCAAGCAAGGGGTGTCAAGGGGAGATCTGTTTTGGGCTACTTTGTAATTGTGTTTCAGGCTTGTGTATGTTTAGTGTACATGGTTCAGTCCTCAGGGGAGGTAACACCCCATGCCTCCTCCTAGGCTGACTGTACTTTCGTTGTTTGAATTAATAAAACTACTCTCATTTATCAAAAAAAAAAAAGAAAAAAGAAATTGTCATGCTTAAGAGATATTGATAAGTCACCAAAAGGAGAAGAAATTCATTCACTTCCATATTCACAAAACAGGGCTCATACACTCCAGATGGGGATACAAAACAGGTTAGGTACAAATAGGGCATTCCTAAATCAGAAATATGGCCTGTCAATATTCAGATTTGAATCAAAACTTATCCGTCAAATTCAGATTTAACTCAGATCAATTGATTCAAATATTGTAAATAATTAATAATATTAAACTAATGTTCTTTTATCAGAAGTAATATTAAACTAATGTTTTTATATAATTATTAATATAACGAACTAATATGACTTTGATATTGTATATCAAAAATAAAATGACTTAAAATAAATTCCCTAAGACTTTAACCTATGAATCTTTAGTAAATAAATGAAATCAATTCACTTACACGTTCATAAAACATAGCTTATACACTCTGGATAGGGAAGTAAACAGATCAGATTCGAACATGATACCTAGATCAGAATACAATCTATTAATATTTGGATTTGAATCAAATATTATCCGTCAAATTCAGATTATACTCACATCAATTCAGATCTTGTTTATAATTAATAATATTAAACTAATGTTATTATATATTATTAATAAAATGTATATCAAAAATAAAATGACTTGAAATAAATTCCTCAAGACTTTAACATTCAACTTACAAATCTTTAGTAAACATACAACATTAAAACCAACTTTACTAATAGTCTTATAGACACATATTAAATTTATGTAGATATAAGCATATATAGTTAAATATTATTTGTATCAGATTAGGACAGATCAACATTTGACCCAATATAAACAGATCAAAGACCCAATCATTTATTTTTTTTTTAGACTAGTAGAGCAGCATGTGCATAAGCAGATCTGCTACTGAGTGCCGTGAATCCGGCATGAAAGTATGGAGGTGGTCATGAATCCAGCTGGAGATATTTGCAATTGTCTTAGGGTCTTGAATAGAAGTCCAGGTTTGATTTCCAGAGTTTAGAACCAGGCGGTGGAACCCTCTAGTTGGTGCAATCAAAAATTTGGGTCCTACTTGCTTGGTTTGGATAAACATTCTCAGAATTCCTTTGCATGCATGGTGATTCCAAACCTTCAAAGCTGTGGGGGATATATGCGGGAGATTTAAATTTGTTGACTCTAGAACAATTTCTTGGAGAAGTCTTGTTGCTGCTTATTCTGGTTGAGGTCAATGAAATTCAGCTGGTCCCATCTTCTCTATCTCTTCTATTTGCTGGAAAACATTACGATTTAAGACTTGCCGTTGAAAGCTCATATACGTTGAAAGGGGTTGAAAATTTAGACTTGAGTTGGAAGGAATTGAGCAAGAATTCTCAGTCGTCTGTTGGAAATGGTGGAAAGATGAACAGTCAACCAGAAGAGGGAGGGTCTGAGGTTGAAGGCAAGGGCAATATTGGAATGGCATCAGTTCAATGACTCAATAAAGGTGATACCTGCATGATTTTGAGAAGTGGTGAGAATAGTGGGGCCCAAAGGAATTTGATCGAGGCAAGTAATAAGTTGGGTTATTCTCTCAATGAGAGGGAGGTGGAGGGGAGAGATAGTTTAATGATGGGAGACGTGGAGAAATCTCCGATGCAAATTAATGAGAAAGTGGTTCAGGAAGGAAGGTGGGCTGTAGTTTCGAATGAGGCCCACGCTTTGAATGTTAAAAAATAGTAAACAGAGGAAGTGGCTTAGATCATCATGGATAAAGGTTAATAGAATGTCTCTTTTTAGCTTCAAACGACAAGAGATTAAGCCTAGGATTTTGAGGAGAACTTCAAGCAAGGAATGCGAAAGGAAGAAAGTTGGGTTTGGAGATCTTCAAGTACAATTCAAAAGGAGAGATTACTGATGCAAGTTCTGGTTCGATGATTGATGAAGGTGAGAACTCACGAAGCAATATTGCTGCAAGTGGTGACCCTGATCTATGCAATCGTGTGGTGGGTGGCCTCGATTTAGCCTCACAAGTAGAGAAAAATAAGGGGTATGAAGCTTTATTAGCCTAGGAAGTCGACTTCAATTATAACGAGAAGTCTAATAAGACTGTAGGGGAAGGCTGCAAAGAAGTGAAGGTTGGGTTGAGGGAGGGAGAAAAGGAAGTTGCAGGAGGGATTACTACAGGCCTTGGAGAATTTTGGGTTTGGGGCTAAATGGTGTAAGTGGATTCAAGGCTTCTTAGATTCCTGTCACTACTCTATTTTGGTGAATGGAGCAGTGGTAGATCATTTCCCTGCGATTAGGGGCCTTAGGCAAGTTGACCCCCTCTCCCCATTTCTGTTTACATCAATTGCTGAAGTCTTGGGCAGAGTAATAATAACTAGGGCAGATGCTAGAAACCTAGTGAGGGGGTGGAGAGTGGACAGAGATAGGGTAACACCTCCAGAGTTAATGATCAAAAAACATCTCTGAGGAGAAAAGGATTTTTTATAGTAAAAGAAAATTCATTAAAAGAAAAAAAAAAGAATATAACCTAGACAGGTGTTAAGGTAATACCTCTAGACCAACTAAGGAGAAACAAATGACTCGAAAGAAAGACGAAACTGGCCCAAATACAACTTAATACGCAATCTAACCCAAGAATAACTTTTCATTATTTCTTTTGAAGGGCTACACAATGGGGGGTAGCCTATCCCCCAACCCAGGTGTAGGTGGGATTCAATCCCAAGTCTCCGCTACGACCAGCAGGAGACCTTACCAACCAGCTGGTTGGCACCTTGCAACCTGACCCAAGAATAACTTAATACCCCAAAATCCCTAGCATGACCAACAGAAATAAAACCATAACTTGGAACAATTCCTTGAAGGAACGAAAGCAAAGCCCGAGAAACCGAAACAGAAAAACTTCTACCAAAACTTTCAGCCCTCTCCCTTTCACCTGCATCCTCAACCTCAACCTCCTCTCACTCTCCATCAACACAATCTAGCTCCCACCCTTCACCTTCCTCCCAAACCTCACCCCCTTCACCAACTACTCTCCTCTTCTTATATTCTTGCCTCCTATTTTTTCCAAGTGTTCAATTGCCTTCCTCACCACCTCTTCTTTCCCGAAAAAGAAAAGGTCAAGAGACTTCCCTATTGCTACCTGTCTATCCACCAATCGATCAATATCCACTTTTCCTTTCTCAGTGTTTTGTTCCTTTGAAATCTCTTCAACCCCGCTCCCCTACCTCCCTTCCCCTTTCTATTCTTTCCTCTTCAACCTCATCTTTTCACCTTTCCCCATTCTATCAACAATCTCTCTTGCGCCTTTTTGACTGTGTCTGCTTCCAAACAAATTGCTTCACCTCTATCTCCCATAGAAATCTAACCTCCAGCCTTGACTTTCGGCCCCTTCCTCTTGTAGATTCTCTTAAATCTGCAGCAAGGCCTGTCCCCAACTACCCTTCCTTGAGACGATGAAAAACTTGGTGAAATGAACAAGCTGCCCATTGCCAGACCCTCGCATTTTTCTCAACTACCCAGTATCGAGGCTATCCGTATTAGTAATTTTTGTCACTTTAATTTCTCCTCCTACCTAAATCCACCCCCAATTTTCCTATCAAAACCAATGTCCTCAGGTCTTCCTCCTTGCCCACCCGCTCAGGAACCGTGGAACTCACAACTCCCTCCAACTCCTTACCCAACTCATTGTTGTTAGCCTCATTGAAGGCAAAGTTCTTTCTTTCATCGCCCTCATCAGAATTCTCTCCCACCTCAATTTTCTCCAAATGATCCTCCATGACCCCCTTATTACTAAGCTTGAAGTGCTGATCCACCACTTCTTTAACTAAAAGAAACTGAACATCTAGAGCATTTTCATTTCCGTCCTTTACCTCGACCGAGACAATGTGAGAACCTTTCTCAAAAGATACAGATCTAATCCTATCAGTAGCCCTTCCTTATGGAGTGTCGATTTCAGTAGCCAATAAGAGTGCTTGGGAATCACCTTTTTCACCCTCAGCTGTGTAGTCGTACCCACCCTCACCAGTCGTCCACTCCCGGGATTAGTCCAAAACATTTCTGATCAAATGTGATGGGAACCTTGAGAATCAGCCCTTGGACGGCACTGAATAGAGTCCCTCTTCAAATCAATGTTCTCAGAAATAATAGATGGGGAAGACAATGGACAAGGATTACCTCCTCTAATGGCCTACACAATAAATTGGGTCCTCAACTTGCCTGACCACTTAAAACCTCACATGGTCCCCTCTTACTCGGTCCATCAACCCGGCCCAGTTCAGTAACATGGTTCTCCCCTATCACGATCGGTTTAGGACTCCAAGGCCCAACCTGCTCCTTTTTATTATTAAGTGAACCCAAACTCAGATCTGGCGTGGCCCCAATTTGTAAATCCTCTACAAACGAATTACTACCCTCTTTCCTTTCTCTAAATTCAAAACAATTTGAATTATTTTCCTTTTCGGGTAGAGCCCCCAAAGATCCCTTTATGAGTAACTTTTCAGTTACCCTTAACACTTGTCCCTCCAACCTTTTCACCTCCCCCAAACTTCCTTCTCCACGTGTCACCCATCCCACCAATAAGCCATCATCTTCAACCTTTGAGCTCTTCTTCCACAGAGACGCTTCAAATTCTGTCAAGCACCAGACCTTTAACCATAAGCCATCGGAGAAAAGATCAATGGCTCAAGGAACATCACTTGGCTTCAACTCTGAGACTTGAACATTCACCACCTTCAAAACACTAAGATTATATTTAATAAGATTTCCTCCCAAAGTCTTAACGATTCTGTCTAGGGAATCTTTGTCCAGAAATTGAATGGAAGTCCTAATAATTTTAAAATGAAGCTCTCATGAGGAACCTCCATCTGATTACAGGAGAAATGCCAATGTTCAATCACCACCGGACAATCCAAGGTCTCCACCGACTCATTATTCAATATAGCAATCCTCTCTTCCCCAACGTCAAGGATTTCTTTTCAATCATCAAAAGGTATAACAGAAACAGGGTACTTGAACATGAGTTTTTTCTTGATACTCTCCAGAGTCCTCCCCCAATCTGTAACATCTCTTGCTGCTGTAAGAACCAGGCACTGCCTCCAAACAACTTTCTCCTCACTCAACAGCAATTTTTGGCTTCCATTTGAACTAGCTAAAACAAGCTTCGAGCTCATGCTTTCATATTTTTCTCCCTTCAATTCCTCCCTAGTGAGATGCAAACCAGATGTCTCTCTCACTTCTTCACAGTAAACCCCTTTTGTCTTCTGCTGATTCTCCTCCTGTCTCGTCAACAACTCCTGTAAACTATCAGCAAAAACCACCCAGCCTCTTCTCTCCCTGCCCTCTGGGATGCAAATCAAATATTTTCTGTTATCACCAAAGTACTCTGTAATAGAGACAAACCATCCTTTCATGTTTCTTCTCACCTCTACCTCATAACTCTTCCCCAGTAGACCAAAGGAACTTTTCCAACCTTGTTATTTAACAGAGTACACTGTTCCATCAACAAAGCCTTTCAGCCAGCAACGCTTCTCCTACCTACAAAATAGAAGCTCTTTTGCCTTCCTGATCTTCAGCGCTGCTATTTCACTGTTTGTTACTTTCCACCTCCCTTCTCCATCTTAGAGGCACTTGGAAATCTCCATCTCCATCTCAAAGATCGAGAAATCCTCCAAGGAGTGATAGGTAGGAGAAGAAAAAGAGGAACCCAAAGTGCATTTGATTCAATAGGAAATCTCCACAGCCACAAACTCTTTTCCCCATCTCCTAAGGATTCTTTCATTCAATTCATTCCATATGCTCCAAAGGATTGCTGCTCTAATGCATTGCCACATCAATTTTCACCTTTGTTTTTGAAGGGGTTAGCTGGAAATGTGAGCTGTTGGGGCATCTACCAACCTGCCTGAACAAAGGCACCATGTGGCACTGGAATTGATACTTAGCTCCTCATGTTTGCATCATGTGTATGAAGGATGGGGAATCTTGTGGACATCTCCTTATCAATTGTGAGGTACTGAGGTTTCCCACAGCCTTTGGTAGTTCTTCCTCAACCTCATCAATAATAATAGTTTCTATTGTGCTCCTCCCAACTATGTGGCAGACTTTCTTGAACAATGACCGTGTTGAAGAAAGGACCCTAGAGGCATCTTGTATGGTAAGGTGGTCTTGCATGCTATAATATGGAGTATTTGGGAGGAGCAAAACAAAGGGATCTTTGAAGGGAAAAGCTCTTCTTTAGAAGATCTAAAAGAATGGTTGGGATGCTGAAGTACTGACTAGAGCCACAAGAGCTTCTTCCTAGAAGGCCATCCATGCTATTCTACCTTTATTTCCTACCATGTATAAGGGATGATTTGTGCATCAGGTAATTTGATAAGATTTTGGGAACATGACTGGGTGGGGGATCCTGCTTTGAAAGATAAATTTCCTTCTTTGTTTGCCCTCTTGAAATACAAAAATGAGCCTAGTTCGAAAAATACCAAAATATAAAGATGAGTCTATTTCCACTTCCTAGTTCCTTCTAGTTCAAGCATTGGTTTCGATTGGGATTTCGACCTAAGAACAGTGATTTAAAAGGCACACCTAGGTGCACAGGCAAGGCGCATTTTGGGGTATGCGCCTTGCCTAGGTCCTAGGCACACCCCTTTCAAAAGGCGCATGCCTGGTGCGCCTAGGCGTGCACTTGATGCACTTTGTGCCTCAGCCCAGGCGTGCGCCTTTTTAAAATTTTGCACTTTTTGCTTTTTTTTTAGTCTAATGGCTGGGCTGGGGGCTCCGCCCCCGGACCCCCAACCATGCCCCTATTTACAAATGTTGTTCATTCATTCATTGCAATAAAATATCTTCTTAAAAGGCAATGAAAGTTATAAAATCATTATTTTTTTATGTGAGAAATAAGAATTTCAAACCCTAACATAAACTTGTTCGAGCTTGCCTCGAGGGACGTGGTACAAAGGCGACTCATAGAATCAAGAATGCAATATGTTTTGCATCACATTAGCTTGAAGCAATGCAATTAAGGAAAAAAAGAGATTGTGGGTTTTACATGCTTGAAAATGCTTTATATGTTTGCTTTTATTTTTAAATTTTCATTTGAATACGCTTTACATGTTATGTTTATGTATTTTAATTTTAGATAATAGGTTTTTTAAAACATTTACTTTAAATTTTAAGTTTATATTTTTTTATTAACATTATGTTTAATATTTTTTATTTTTTTTTTGCATTTTTTTAACTTTTTTGGAATTTTCTGATTTTTTTAACTTTTTTTTTGTAATTTTGCACCTTGCTTAAAAAGGTGTGTGCCTCACCTTGTGCCTTGCACCTTAGGCGCAAATTGGCACTTGCGCTTTTAAAACACTGCCTAAGAAGGGGTCTAAGGTATTCAAAATTAAATAGTGTCTTGGCTTTGCTTCATATCCTTGAAGGGGTTCTCTTGGACCCATCCAAACCTGATAGTCAAATTTGGATTCACTCCTCCACTGGTACCTTCTCCTGTGCTTCCTTTTTGAAGGTCTTAACTCAACCCTCAGATAGTTTGGGACAAACCTTCCCTTGTTAACGAGGTTTGGAGAAACCTGTCCCTCCTAGAATTGGAGGTTTCTGTTGGGAAGTGTTACTGGAAAGAATAAATACTTGTGATTTGCCCCCAAAGAAAAAGACCAAGTTGGTGCTTATCCCCGCATTGGTGTGTTCTCTGTAAAACTAATGGAGAGTCATGCTATCACTTATTAATCCCCTGCCCCTTTGTCATTTCCATATGGGAATGGTTTTTCTCCTTGTTTGGGTGTAGGTGGACCCCCCGCCAAATCTGCAATGTTTGTTTGCCTCTACATTTTTTATTGGCCAAAGAAGAGGGGAAGATTGATATGGAGATGTTTAAGAACTGCTTTGAGTTGAACCATTTGGGAGGAAAGGAATTCAAGGATATTCTCAGATAGGGAAAGAAGCAAAGAGGCTTGAGAATATCACTGTTAGGGTGGTTCAATGGGTTAAATATTTTTAAGTTATTTGCGGATTTTTCAGTCTGTTACAAGCCTTGTATGGTCTCCACCAGTTCATCGTTTTATTAAGCTTAATTTTGACGTGAGTAGTGCAGGAAGTCCAAGTCCACCAGGTATTGGTGGAGTTCTCAAGAACGAGGGTAGAATTGTTGGTCTATTTTCAAGGCCAATAGGTGAAGGGGATTTTTTGAGGGCTGAGATTTTGGCCATGTTGGAAGGTGTGCAAAGAGTAAAGGACATGAACATTAGTAAGTTGGTTATATAAGGGGACTCAAAGATGGTGGTGGGTTGGCTGCAAAAGGAAGAATTTGGACTTTGGAACTACAACAATGAAAGAAAGAAATTTAAATGGCTGACATGAGGCATGGATGTGAGATTAAATTGGGTTAAAAGAACTGCTGCTAATGGATTTGCTAATGCCTTAGAAAAACAGGGGGTGGGAAGAAATCAGTTGTTCTGGGCTCAACTGTATCTTTATTTTAGTTTTTGTGGAGACTTAAGAGATTTTATCTCTCCTCCTTCGCAATCTGTCTCTTCTTTTAATGAAATATGCAGTTATTGATCAAAAAAATAAAGACGACCTGAAAGGGAGAACCCCACTGTTTCTTAATTCTTGGATGAGTGCAAAAAACTGTTTTGAGGCATTTCTTTTGGGATATCTGGAAAAGAATGTATTGCAGGTCCTGAATTCTAGTATCGCATCCTCTATCAGAACCAGCCTTTCTCCTAAACCCCCAGCAGAGTTTAAACTTCAGTTTGGTGATAGCAGTAAAGCTTCTTTGAATCACAGGGTACAAGCTAGTATCGGGGGTTGAATTATTTAACTCTAATGGGGACCTGATCTGGGGTATTAGTGGGCCAACCGGTGTGGCAGATACTGTGGAAGCTTAACTCCATGCCAAATTGGTGGGTTTGAGATCAGTGGTGGTTGTTAACCTCACTGAGGTCATGGTGGAAAGGTGATTCCAAAATTGTAATCAGCTGGATGAAAAACTTGGAGGGTCCACGGAAACTCAACTACTTTTTTAATGAGATGGATTCCTAGAGTGATGAATTGTGTAGCTGATGGTTTTGCCAAACCAGGGGTGAGGGGTTTGTTTGCACAGTGGCTACTCAATGCCTTTATAAATCCTAGGAGGGTCTTCTTTTGGTTTTTGCTCTTGGTCTGTTGTCCATCCCCTCATGTACATCCTTTTTTTCTTGCAATGAAAGTTAACCTTTTCTCCAAAAAGTTTTGGTTGTTTCACAGAAATTCCTCCAAGTCCAATCTTTCTTTCCATTATTATTTCTTCATCTTCTATGACATTTTCTGCTCCATCCCTTCTTGTAATAGAATAATTTATAGCAATGTTTCCTTTATACCAAATTCTCATGATGCTTCTCTTGTAAGGCTGAGATGATATAAGTAGTACTTGGCTAGTAAAGTTTCCATGATTATCTATCAATTTAAAAATAGATTGAAGACTTCAGAGAAAATAAGGGAAAAAGGAAATACATTTTATGTGAAGATGATCAATAATCATGGGGACCTAAAGGTGAATAAGGAAATACACACATCAGAAACTTGAATAGAAAATATCAAATATGGGCATGCATTTGCAAAAATAAATATCATTAGAACTGGTAAAGCATACACATTACGGTAAGTAAATACTGAAGAAGATTCCCCATCCAATTTATTCAATGGAACCGAGGATGTCCCAAGCAACAATATAGGAAAGTCAGATGGTAATTCCTCCAAAAGTGCCACGAGGACTGCCCTAAGCTGCTCATGAGCCTGAAATTTCAAAAAAGAAAAGAACTAAGATGAAAAGCATGAATTAAAAATTCCTGTAATCAATTTTTACATGAATTACGATTGGCATCAGATAAAGAACAATATATAATTGAGGCATGGTCTGAAGCCCTTGGAGATCAATTTTGACTCTATTGCCTATCTTCATGCAAAACATAAGGTATGATGTGGTTTTAGGGCAAGGTGTGAAAGTTTTGGGAAGATACTTGGTGGGGGGCTCCTTTTTGTCAAACTTTTCCAAGAACTTATAGACTGTTCAAATCTAAAAATAGATTAATTGTGGATTTGGCAACATTGGGAGAGAATGGTTTAGTTTGGGACTTGGGTTTAAGAAGGCCTTTAAGGGATCTTGAAACAAATGAGCTGGTTTCTCTTGTAACCCTACTTAAAAGCTTTGATTTTTCCTCATCGGGGAATGATGAGAATTTGGATCCTAATACCAATGGCTGTTTTATTTATACCTCCTTTTTTAAATCTTTATATCCCCTTACAGAGTCTAAACCTTTCCCGGTTAAGGAGGCAATGGTGTAACCCGACTGGCCCGACTCCCCCCAAAGTAAGGATTTTTTGTTGGGAAGCTGTCAACCAAATCATCAACACCCATGAAAGGCTCCAAAGGAAATGCAAACACTGGGCTCCCTCTCATGTGTGTCTTCTTTTCTTAAAGAGCAGGGAAAATGCTAACCATCTATTATTACATTGTTCCTATGCTTCTAATTTGTGGCAACTTTTCTTCTCGTTGTTTGGAAAAACTTGGGTGGCACCAGATGCAGTAGTAGACCTATTTAAAACAGATGTTTTTGGAGGCTCTACACAGGCAAAAGATTGCCTGCAATGCATACGCAGGGCAGTGCTTTGGGGATTATGGTGTGAAAGAAATGCAAGGATTTTTTAAGAAAAGTGCAAATAAATGGAGGAAGCGTTTGAACTTACAAAAGTAAGGGTATATCACCGGGCTGTGATTTGTGGGGCATTTCAAGGTGTTTCTATCAATGATTTGCTTAGGGAGTGGCAGGTGGTGATGGTGTTTCAGATTACAAGACAAAAAAAAGGGTGGTTTATTGGTCCCCTCCTGATATAGAAGTAGAAGATCAAGACTGTAATCARTCTTGAATCCTAATAGGTTTTAGGTTTACAAAACAGAATAAAATGAGAGAAAATGAGAGAGAATAGAAGAGAAACAGGAGAACACAAGTGGTTGAAAGGAATGACAGATTTTTACTAATCTGCCGCCGCCACTTTCTTATTATTTATAGGTTATGTTTAGTACATAATGGAAAGGACACATCTGCCCTTAGTACTTACATAATAAATAAAGTAAATAAAAGCTGAAATAAATAACAA